GCCCAGGGGTGGCACCACCCACAGTGGTCTGGGCCCTCCCACATCACTCATCATGAAGATGCCCCTCAGACATGGCCACAGGCCAGTCCAATAGAGGCAATCCCCCAATTGAGGCTCACTCAACTCAGGTGTGTCAAGTTGACACTAAAGCCATCCAGCACAAGGACTCAGCATGTATGGCAGAGTGCATAGGGTTCAGTGGGGGGATGTGGGAAGGCGTGGAGGAGGGAAGGGGTCTGGATTTGAGTGGGAAATGTATGAAATTTAAAAAGCTCAAAAAAGGTGGTTTGGCATTTTATGGGAAAATAATTTATCTTCATTCATTCATAAGCATTTGCTAGTACTGTTAATAAAATGGAAAATCGAAAGCAAGCAGAGCCTGCCATGCAGTATGCTTTGTGTCCCGCCCCCCGCCATATCTGTACATGTGCAGCACACACGGGGTGCTCACTCATAATGCCAGGACCCCATTCTCTACATGAGCACCAGGCTGTTGGTGAAAACATTCTTCCAAAAAGGTCTAAAACTTGCATCAGCACATCGTGCCCTAGATCCGCTCAAGAGATATTCTAAGTGATTGGAAGCTTTTATCTGCCTCTGAAAGCAGGCCTTTTCAAATAAGTATTGACTGTTAATGACCTGTTTAAATAAAACATTCAATTTTCTTTCTTCCCCCACAAAGAATTTAGTAGGCAGAGACATTTCTAAAGGAAAGGCTAACCCTGCTTTTCAAAAGAGGCTGAGCCAAAGCTTTTAAATGCGAACATTTTTTTTCTGACATTTGCCCTTAAAATGCTATTCAGTGAAGTTGTGCTAACAGTGGGTTGAGTACATTGAAAAGTCTTTGAATAAGAATGCAACCTTAAGATTTTTTTCTTCAAATTAAACAAAAACATCCAAGTTGGTATTTCCGTATGAAATGTATATTTCAGTCACCACTCTCTGTCTCACTGTCCATGTCTCCTTGTATTCCTGATGATTAAGGAGACTTTCCTCTGAGAAATAAGGCACAAGACCATTTATGAAAGTATGAGAATTAAACCAGGGGAAAAATAAGAGCCCATGGAATGTAAGAGACCTCAGTAATTGTAAAGCCAGATGAAG